ATTTCTGGAGTATTGCAAATCTTTATCATTCTACTTGATTAGAATAAGAGACATTCCTTGGAGTTACTATTCAACAGTAATTAATCCCAGAGGAGATGCCTCTTGATAGACACATCATCGGGTCAGGATTGGCAGTGCATGCTGGTCCACGTGCCATATGAGACATGGGCAGTCATGATCCTTAGCACCAAGTGCTCATCAACATTTCCACCTGAAGAACACAGCAGTGTGTGCAGCCCCTCCTCGCCAGCCAGTGCTGGCAGGAAGTCTTAGCTGTCTGGGATATGGCTAAGGATCATGACAGTCCATATCTGCCAGGGCACAAAGGTCAGCATGAACTGTTGAGAGATTTGCAATATACCTGACTTCCCTGCCAATCTCAGTGAGTGAGATTGCAAGCATCTTCTCTGGATCAGTATCCAGCCCACCATACAGCACAGTCTGGAATGAAAGTGATACCTCTGTTATCTGACTGGTAATTACAACCCCTTGAGTCTGAGACCATCACTCTGTGGGCTTCTGACCCCAGACCTCTGCAATTCTCTTCAGCTCCACTCTTCCCCCTCCTCCACCATAGAAAATACCCTGTCTATGTACATTCAGTAAAAGGCCTTCACACTCAATAGCATGACTTCCTTATACTGCAAGAGTTTCAATAGCACCCTTGTTTCTACCTCACCTCATTTCTGAATAGTTTGCAGTGCAGTCTCATCTGGGCCCCAGAACCATCCATTGGACTTCTTGTTCACTCATCTTTTTTGCACTAGGCATGTATAGTAGCTGAAGGTGGGGAGAGCAGAGACTGAGGTGGCTGGGGTAAGTGGGGAACCAAATTCAGCCATACATCATATGCCCAGGCAGATGGCAGCCACCCCCAGCAACAGGCAGGTGAGGAGCAGGTCCAGCAGGAGGAACTGTGAGCAGCAGGGGTGGCCATGGCCTTACAGAGGGAGGGAGGAGAAATGAGGAGCTCTAGTGGGAGTGGGAGAACCCTGGGGTCCACATTCCTAGATAACCCCTACAGATGTGAGTGGTGTGCAATACCCAGCACTGTGGTTGGCTGTCTCTGGTGACCCCATCTCCAGGAGGTCCCTGCAGATGTGAGGGTGTGGACAATGGCCAACTTCCTTGGGTGCGGAGTTGTTTCTAAGTTGTAGAGGGGAGAATGTTTCAGAATAAGGGCTGCAGGTTATTCTTGGGAAAGCCAATGGATGGAGTCTTCTCTGTAACAAGGGCAACTAACCCTTAGGGGAGAGAGGAAATGGGTGGGGAGGGATGTAATAGAGACATCCCAGGGTGAGGTGTGCCTCTGTGGCCACAGTGGGAGGCTCATCTCTAGGCAGGGTGAGCTATGGGTCCGGGTTCTGCCCATGACCTACACTCCTTCCACCCCTCACCTCCCTGGGCTGCCCAATGGCTGGCGGTTGGTCACACTAGGGAGGGGACAGTACTAACATAGGCACATCCGCCTGACAGTTGGAGATGTGGTGTTGCTTAAGATGTGGCTGGCTACTCCTCCCTACCATCTGGGGAAGGGAGTGGAGAAGGAAGCGTGGGAAGCCTTTGTGGTGCTCCACAGCCTCCTGCCAGAAACCCCCAATGCATGGTCCCACCGTTTTCCTACACCTACAAGTGGTCTACAATGCCCTTGCCATCAGTGAGTGGGGCTTGTGGTCACCTTGGGGTCCTGCCAGTGTGTCACCCCGATCTTCCCCAGGGTATCTCATCATGGTTCTTCTGGGGTTCCCTCTAGGGGTTCCTCAGGTGGGGAGGTATTGAATCACAACCCACCACCAGATTGATCGCTGTCCAGCATGTACCTCCCCCCCTTTTTCCTGTGTGACTCCCCATTCCACACGCAAGTTCAGCTCCCCTAGACTGCTCTTTCCCCTACCCAAGCTCCTATGAGGACCCCAAATGTTTTTAGGATGCTACTGGCACCTGGCCTCAGCAGCTATGTCTCTTCCCTTCTCCCAACCTAGGGTAGTATCCTCTGGAGACTACTTTGGACTCTCATTGTCCACATAGCACCCTCCTCCCCCCACCTAAACACACACACACACACACACACACACACACACGTCCTCTGGGCTGGCCATACCTGTTCGGTGTCCTAGTCCAGGTATCGGTGATTGTGGGCACCTCAGCTACTGCCTGGACGTGACAGACAGAGGACAGCCTTCTTTAAACACTCGGTTCCCAAACCCTGGAGCTGGTGAACATGCTACTTACTACAGATATGCACATGTGGCCAAGTGGAGGCTCCTTAGATGGGGAAATTGTCCTATTTGATCCTGATCAGTCTGCCAACCACATCCCTGCCAGCCTTGAGAAGAAAGAAACTGGATGAGGAATGGAGGATCAGAGAGGTGCGAGATGAGGAGGACTCCTGCAGCATTTGTTGGCTTTGAAGGTGGAGAAAGGGGGCCAGTAGCCAAGGGATGCAGGAAGCCCCTGAGTGCTGGAAAAGGCAGGGAGTTGGCTTCCTATGAGTCTCCAGAAGGGAACTAGCCCTAGGCACAGCTTGATTTTAGTCCAGGGACTCTTGTGTTGGAATTCTGAATTCCAGGTCTCTAAGAGAATAAATTCCCAACATTGAAGATGTTTGTGGCTTTTTGAAGGGCTTGTGGCTTTTTGTTAGAGCAGTGAATGCAGCCAGGGAGTGCCAGGGGTGTCTGGGACTTGCCCCAGGGCCTTTCCTTGGTCCTGTGTTGAATGGTGACACAGAAAACATCTACATTAATGCTGGTGGCACCAGGCTGAAAGGAAGCACAGGAGAGCCAACTCTGGATTCAAGTGATTCCAGCAGAGATGACAGTGGCTCCAGCCACAGAATGAAATATCACAGAGATAAATGATCAGGGCTCCACAGTACTCAGCAGTGAAATGTTGAGTTCTGAGAAGAAGATGGCCTCGCTGTCAAGCAAATGGCGTCCTCCCTTAAGCAAAGTGGATGGACACAACTTTCAGGGGAGAGGCGGTTAGCACGACTTTACACTCAAAGGGATTCTAGCGAATACAATCCATTTGTCCTACATTAGAGCTCAATGGGCTATTGGCTCATTACAAACTAACTATGTGATTTGAGAGTTGGGACAAAAGGCTGCCCATGTTATTACAGGTTTGTAGCCAAATATGTCCACACCCACAACCCCTTTTGAAGGGACAACCCCTTGTTGTTGAGCTAGTCCTGGATCTTAATTCTGTTTTGTGGCTCAATCTTCCCCACCCCTCCTCTGACCCTAAGGGATTGAAATAAACAAGGGATGAAGCAGATGTTGTGGCATAGCAGGCCTCATGGGATTCACTGGCCTGCCATCCCACTTCTGGGTACTGACCTGACACTCTTGGGATATACTCCCAGTGTGTACCAGGAGCACCATGCCCTGCCCCTCACAGGTGCTCTCTGCCCCAGAAGATCGACCACAGTTCCTTTACACCGCATTTCAGCAGAATACCAAAAGGAAACCAATTTTATCTTCTCAATCCTTGCCAATGGATCCTCCTTGCAAGCTCATTGCCAGAGTAACTACATAACCCGGGTAAGGTCTAGGTCGGAAAGGAAAGGGAGCTGCATGCTAGGAGGCTCCCTGGAGGCTGAGGCCCTGACTGCTTAGTGATAGGGGTAGAAGGAGATCCCAAGGAAGGCTAATTGAAGGCGCCTCCACTGTCATTGCATGATTTTGGCCTGAATGTGCCTTGCATTCTGCACTTTAGTGGATGACTGTCTGCTGCCTTTCCTGCTTCTGGCCACCTACTGCTGCAGCATAAGTCCCTCACTCCCCTCCCTGAACTGACCTGGCCACCCACATGCATCTTCTAATGACAGGGCAGAGATAGGCTCTCTGACTGAATAAGGCTGCCCCTTCATCTGCCCATCTGTTTGAACATATCACCCATGCTTCCTTCACTAAAACCATCCAGCACCTAGAGTGGACCTGGAGCACCTGCCTGAACAACCTCCCACACTCCTGCCATCCACTCAGCATGAGTAAGCAGGACCTTGACCACTGGGAAATCCCTTTCTCTCTCTCCCTGAGAACTCCCAAGCACCACTTGGAGGAAGCATCTGAATGTATTAAGATGTTGAGGAGGCAGGAGTTGGTGAGGGGTTGGGGGTGCTGACGATCTCAAGCTAGACACTTTCCAAAGTTAGAATCTGAGGAACAGCAGAAGGAGGAGGGGGTTAGTGGACTGGAAGTGGGTCTCATTCTCTGAGCTCCAGCCCTGCCAAGCTCCTAGAGGATAAGGAGACAAGGCAGAGAACATGGTTCAGGAACTGTGAAAAGAGGGAGTGTTTCCACCATGCTTCCCAGGGCAGACCCCTAGCTCTCCCAAAGCTGATTGGACCTCCTTCTGCCAAATCATCAGAATCACCCTCCAACTAGGTGGATCACATGACTTGATCAACCTCTTCTTGCTATGGGAAAACCTCAGGGGTAGCAGTCAAGCTCCTGGACATACACAGCAGGTCTGTCGTCCACCTGCCCCTCATACCTCTATTGCTGTTGCCCCCACCAGCTTCCCTGGATGACCATCCCAGAGAACCTAGTACAACTGGGCACACCTGGCCACCAATGAGTGGCATTGAGTGATACCCTCATCTCCCAAGCTCCCTTGGCCTGTGGAGACTGTACCACCAGGCACCAGCCCTCCAGCCATGGTGCCCTCAGCTGAGGAGAGCATGCAGTGTGAGGGCAACAGAAACAGAACCTGAGGGCCTGGCCACACAGCTGCCCTTGGCTGTGGCCACACACAACTTCACCAGCACTTGCTCTTCTGCCTCCCAACCCTGGACCCCCAAGTCAGGACCTCCCATTAACAACAACCCCCCAGCTGTGGTAATGAACTCACTGCCAAGCCTGGGACAGGGAGCCCGAACACACCTGTGAGCACAGAGTGTCAGTTCCTAAATGGCTGACTGACTCCTCTCCTCATGTAGAGGAGCCTCAGCATGGATAGGGTGACATAGCACCTAGCCGACCCAATCCTGGGCTCGCTTTCCCGTGGAACCCACCCAACCACACACAGCATTATTGACACACGAGACTAACAAGTGCAAATTATTTAAACCAATTTCATTTAGACTTCCCAGCTGGCTCTGGCTGCCCTTAACCATTCAGCTAATGTGCCCTCATGCCCACATACAATGTCTTGCCACCAGGGCAGGTTCTTGGCCATGGTGTCCACAGTTATTTCTAGAAGTCAGGTGTGGGTCAGGCTACAGCTAGATTCTGCTGGCAGAGGTCAGATGGGAAAGCTCTATAAACTCTTGGCATCAACACCTGCAAGAATAAAGTATCAATGAGCTCCACAGTTGATTGCCATGGTGTCCCCATCCAGCCTAACTGAAACTTACCCCCAGCTCCCTGGATAACCACTTTACCAGCTCCCTTTAATGCTACCTGCCACTGTACATACCAACCATGCCACAATTCCTCTTTTGGGAAGAACTTTTCCTTCTGAACTCTGGGCCCCTGCCCTGCATCCCTGACCCAGACCCACCATGCCACTTGTTCCACTCTTACCTGAATTCTACATAGAACGGTCCCCATCTGGAAACCTGAAAGACTCCATCTCACAGATGCAAGGAAGAGGGGTATTGCACACCTTTGGCTTCAGATACCATGACTGCCTATAGTCTAACATGGAGCACCTGCAGGTGGTAAAGTTGTATTGAATGGTAACTGAATTCTCCCCTCTGTCCCCTTGCCATCGGGAAAACCTGGTCCAACTCCTATCACTCTCAGACTGCCTAGCACATGTCCTAGGGACTGATTCAGGATGCCAGCAGAAGAGACTAGAAGGCCAGATACACTTCAGTTACACAGGAACACAAGCAAGTGGCCACCTTGTCTCAGGACTCACCCTCTGCTCTAGTTCCTTGGCACTGCTCTAGCGCCCCCAGTGGCCCTGACTGGGACAGCCCAGCTTCAGTTGTGCAAGTGTTTCTAAGGATGGCAAGTTAGAATGCCCACTGGTTTCCCATAGCTGTAAAACCCTAGCTGAAACTCTGCTTCTTCCTGTTAACTATTTCATTATTTTTAACTGTGCTATGGAGTTCTAAATACTAGAGAATAAAGTATGAGACATGCCTACAATGTTTTTAAATAGAGGAAAACAAATGGGCAATCGTAATACTAACTGATGGAAACATTCTGGACTCAGGACCTAAAGAGGAAGTTGCCACGGTATGTACGTTTTTACAAGGAGATAGAATGGAGTTGGAAACACTCCCAAAACTCTCAAAGAACTCACCCCCAATACATCCACCAGTCCTTGATTAAGCCGTGGCCAACCCAATACGAAGTGTCCTCAGATACTTCTGACAATAAACTCTTCCAGGGAGAACTCTGAGGGGAGATTCAGAGAGCACAGGTGTGTATCCAAAAATGGAACCTGCAGGATGAGGGTCTCAGAGGAGAGTGCAGAGCCTGTCTGTGATATTTGACCACCCATGGGAGACTGGGTCATTCGCTCCTCAAGGGCCATGTCCCAGCCAGCTAGGAGTTCCTGCCAACACTGTTTGGTGAACAGGGGCTGCCTGCATCGCTGTGTTGTGAGATCGGAAAAGTTGCTGGCCTCTCGGTGCTAAGGATTATGACCCTCCGTGTCTGCTAGGGCACGTAGGCGGGCATGCACTGCTGATCTGAGCAGATGAAGTGTCTCCATCAAATGGCACCTGCTGTGGGTTCACTTACCTCTGAATAATAATATTTCCAAGGATTGTCTCTGACAGTGGTCAGGTTAGATGACAGAGATTTGCAATACTCCTGGCTTTCCTGCCAATCTCTCTTAGTGAGTGAGATGTAAAAGCATCTTTCGTTGATTAGTTTCCAGCCCGCCACACAGCAGGTGTCTAGAAAACGAGAGAGTGACAGCAGCACCTGATTCCTTGGTGGTCTGCCTGCTAATCATAACCCACTGGATCTGAGGCCATCACTCTGTGGATTTCTAGCCCCAGATTGCTGCAATCCTTCTTGACCTCACTTTTCCACTCCAACATGGAAAATGCCCTGTCTATGTGCATTCAGTTAATGGCTTTCACACTCAACGGTATGACTTCCTCACACTTCAGGAATTCCCATACTACTAGTGTTTCTATACCCACCCCATCCTCGCCTCAATTCTGAAAAATTTTTCAGTACATCCAAATTCTGTCCAGTTTTGCCTGGGCCCCCGAACCATCCATGGGCCACTCATTCATTTGTTCATCCCTTTAGCTCCCTAAAGCAGCAGGTATCACACATTTAAGTAATTGCCATGTGGATTTCCTTAACTGTGATCAAGCAACTATGACACAGTCTAGATTGGGATGGCATGTTCAGATTTTTGTTTATGAAGTACTTCATCAGCTCTTACAATGTTGTAAGGGAACAAATTCAAAGATAGGAATGGGCAAAACTTCAAATGACTCCACAGAATTGGTAATGGAGCATGCAGAGCTTGGAGAATGAGATGAGGGCATCTCTCAAATACCGAAAGAAGGTATGGTACTGGTGGAAAGCTGTGCTAGGAAAATCCAATATTGCCAGGCAATTACTGGAGACCAGAGTCTTGATGGGGCCAGCAGAATGATCCCTTGACATGGCACACCTAGGTACAGCCCCAGGTACAGTGGTCAACCAGGTTCCTACAAAATTCAGATCTTGCCAGTGAAGCACACACAAAGGACAGTAGGACAAAGGAGTGAGCAGTTGGGTTGCAAACTTGTATCACATCATGGTGGCAAAGGGGAGAGGTGAAGACAGAAGCAGCAGACAGGCAGAGAGGAATGGGAGGTCCCAGTGAGTCACTGGTCTCTGTGAGGTGGCAGAGGTGTGGGGTGGAAGAAGTTGTCATCAGAGTAGGCTTTCACAGCTGTTCTTTCAATGGAGGAGCAGTCGGGGATGCTGTGGGAACAGGTTCAACCCTGAAACAGGACCTCACAGCATGCAGCAGAAGAAGATGCAGGAAATGATAGTTGGAGATGTCTGCACACTCTTCATGCCTCCTGAGATAGACAGAGCCCAACCCCTGAGCACGCTCCTAAACCCAATCCACCCTGCAGGCAGTGACCTCTGGCATCTTCCCTGGGAACCCAGCCTCCTTCAGTATAGCCTTTCCCATCCATGTGTCTCTTCTCCCATCGCTGCTTTCAAAATGGACAGATACAAGAGGAGCGAGAGTCCACTATACCCTAAGTCTACAAACCATCCCAACCATCCACCTCACTGTAAGAAACCCAAATAGATTCCAGCCAATTTGCCCCCTACTAGGCTATACCTGGAACAGACAGCAGTATTTTGCATTCAGTTGGTCTCCACAGGAGCTAAGACCAAGTGAAGGTATGTGCTTTGAAACCAGCTAAACCAATTTCATTTACAAGTTCCTGGGGTATTCCAGACCCCTATCCTTAGCCTGGCTTCCTCATACCCAGGCAGCTTTTCCAGTTCCCCAGTGCCCAGAGAAGGTACCTTGTGAGGAGCAGGTGAAGAAGGGGCTCAGCATCTCCTCAAGGTGGCTCAGCTTCTGTTGGGAAGCCTGCAGATCTGGGAAACCACATGGAGATGTTGGAAGAGGGGAATGTGGACACCTGCTGCAGCCATGCCCTGGAGCCCCACCTGGCAGTGTCCTTGACCCCGTTCTGTGTCTTGCAACTGTTCCCACCACAGAGCTGAACTATGACTTATGATGGCTGAGGAAACTTGGTGTTGAAGGAAGTTAAGGTGCATGTGAGCTGAGGGCACTGGGAACCAACCCTAAAGCTAACAATGTGAGGGATGTGGCTGTGGAGTCTGCTGGGCAAGCATAACTGAGGTTGGGAGAGCAGGGGACAAGGTGACTTAGGGTAAGTGGGGAGCCAGGGTCAGTCATACTCACATTGTACACTCAGGCAGATGATAGCCACTTTTAACAGCAGGCAGATGACAAGCAGACCCAGCAGGAAGTACTGAGAGCACCTGGGTTGGCCATGGCCTTCACAGAGCAAAAGAGGAAAACTGAGGGACTGGGGCAGAATTGGGGGAATACCCTGAGGACAACATACCTAGGAGGTCCCTTTGGAGATGAGTGGTTGGGCAGTGGCCAACCACCTCTGTGTCTGGGGTGATTTGAAGGTGAAAAGTGAGAGTGTTCCAGGATAAGGGCTGGGGGTGTTCACTGCAAGGCAGGTGGAGGGTCATTGCCTGGTCGCAAGGGGAATTAACAGTCATGGGAGAGAGGAAATGGGTACAGAGGGACAGGAATGGGGATGTCCCGGGGGTGGGGGATGTTGCGGGGTAGGGGACAGGCTCATCTCTGAGAAAGGGACGCTGAAAGGCCACATGGGCTCTTCCTGCTCCTGACTCTCCTTCCCTTTGTGAGGTTCCCACACATCTGATGACACAGCACAGCCCATGACTGCTGGGGACAGGAGCAGAGGTAGCAGCAGGCCAAGCCATGCAGTGCCCCAGAACCTTCCACTAATGAGAACCCTCAGCCCATGGCCCCACTGCTGCCCTCTGCCTGCAACTGTTCTTATGCCCTGAATACTGGCAGGGCTTCTGGGATTCCACCACTGGACTCCCTTGGCTCCTGACTGGCTTTCTCCCCTGATCTTCCTCCAGGGGACCCTATCATCACCCTCCTGGGGTTCCTTTTAGGGTTTCCTCAAGGTGGAGAGGCGTTGACCCCCCAGCCCTCCTCTTTATTGATCACTGTCTAATGTCTACCTTCTGATTTTCAATGCTGGACTCACCATTCCTCATCTTAGCTCAGCTCCCTGAGGCAGTCCTAGGCCCAGTGTCCACCAGGAAGCCCACCTGGCTTTGGGATGCTGCTGACGCCTGACTCCAATTGTTGCTCTTTTCCCTCCCAACCTAGCATAGCATCCTCTGAAGACTAACTCCACACGCAAGCTAGGGGCCAGCTTCTCCCTGGCCCCTCTTCGCGTATGCCGCAGCTGCTTGTTTCCCTGACTCGGAGGGGAAGCACCAAGCCTGTGGAATTCTCTGGGGCTGATGGCACCTACATGATTTCGTAGCTGAACTCCTCATCCTCATCAGTGCCTACAAGAATAGAACAGGGGGGAAGGGGAATAGGGAAGAAGAGAAAATAGAGGAGAAGAGAATTGAGTGTAATGGAGAGGAGAGGGGAGGGAATTGAAGGGAAGTAAAGAGAAGAGAATTCCCATGGTGGTGGGCCTTGAGGTTGGACGATTGAAGGCTCAAAGGAAGGTTGCGGGTGCACTTACCCTGGCCCGAGTGGGAGATATTCTTGCTCAGAGAGGCCTTCACCAACTGCCGGTCTGCATAGCTGATGTTCTCTGCCATGTTCCTTTGCAGCACCCCTGTCCCCAGCACACTTGCGTGCTCACATAAACCCTTCTCCACTCCCACTATGCTTACTAGAGAGCTCTGAGTTCCTTCTGTGACTGCACTGCTCAATAGTTGATCCTGTGACTTGCAGTTACAAAAGAGGAAGATGGAAGTGTGCCTGTTGTAGATGGGCTAAGTGAAGCAGTGATACCATTAGGGCCTGGCTTCAGAGGCACGGAGACATGGGACCAGAGACCAGGGGAGGCAGGCTGGGTATATTTAACATCCCTCAGCACAAACTGCCTATGTGTATGTGCCAGGCTCCAGGGCTGTTGCACTGCTGTTGACTTTCCTTGCTCCCTAGGGCATATGTGTGTCTGTGTTTGTGTGTGTGTGTGTGTGTGTGTGTGTATGTTACTAGTTAATGATCACTAGGGTTTCAGACAGTTGTGTGTTTCCTCAAGGGATCCTGATTTGCTGGCTTGTCCAGTGAGACATAGTCCCCATCCACTTGGGACTATGATAACTAGCAAGTAAGGATGCTACACAGGTGCCCAGGCCAAAGAACTTCCTGGGGATGAAATAACCTTGGGAGGAAGTACACAGACCAACAGTGTTGGGTCAGCACTTGCTGCCTTCCTCTCAATTGCTCCCTCCTTGCAGCTTCTCCCTGGCCCTTCTCCCCTCTCTGACTGATCAAGCCTGTGCCTTAACTCTTTCCTCCATGACATCTGGCACACCTCTGGCAACACTGGAGCACAACTCCAAGGATGGAGTCAGGTAGGAAGTGCCCAGGAATTACTAAGGGCCACAGCCTGCTAATGCACTGAGGTCGAGAACACAGGGAAGCCTGGGCGCTGAGCATGCAGACTCCAAAACACCGAGATTTTCTTATTTCCTTAATCTCACTGTCCTAGAAAGGTTCTTCCTCTACAAAGCCCCAGCTCTTCCCACTCTGTACTTACTCAGCCCTGACAGGAAACAAGCCTTACTGAGGATGGAGGGGGTGCCAAGGCCTGACAGACCCTTGGAAGTGGTGTGGGCCAAACCAACTCACAACTGACAGAGTGCCTTCAGAACTTTTGGTTTCAAAGACACAGCACCTTGCAGAGGGACTCCCAGGCCTTACATCTGGGCATCCCACTGGGAATGGATACCAAGAGGGAGATAGCTAAAACCAATGGCATGGTGAATTACACCTTCCTCCTACCTGAAGCAGCTTTTATAGCTGGGAGGAAGAGTCCAAACCACAGACTAACAGCCCATGCGGGATGGAAGGGACTCACCCTTACCAGTCTGGAGAAAGGCCAGCCAGCATCAGGAAGGCCAAGAGGTCACAGGGGGCTCTGAAAAACAGGCTGTGTTTGTACTCATTGCTGCAGCCCACCAGAATGCAGGAGACTCTCCATTGGCGATGCTCCTGGCACGGCAGACAGAGGTACAGCCTTCCTAAAGCACTCACCTTCTGTTTCCTGGAGCTGGTGAACATGCAACTTATTGCACATATGTACATATGACCAAGTGGAGGCCCCTTCGAGGGGGAAATTGGCCTGCTTGATTCTCATCGATCCACCAATCATACCTCTGCCAGCATTGAGAAGAAAGAAATGGGATGAGGAATGGAGGGTCGGAGAGGTGTGAGGTGAGGATGACTCCCACAGCACTTGCTGGGTCTGCAGGTGAAGAAAGGGGACCAGCAGTCAAGGGATGCAAGCAGCTTCTGGAAGCCGGAAAAGACAGAAGGATGGTTTCCCATGAGCCTGCAGAAGAAAACCAGCCCTGGTTCCTTCTGGAATTTAGTCTAAAGACACCTGTTTTGCAATTATGAGCTCCAGGTCCCTAAGAGAATAAATTTCCAATAATGACGGTAGACGATGCTGGGTTTATAGCCATTTATTATAGCAGCGATAGATGCATTTCCCAGGTTGCAGAGGAAGCATGGTATAATGGGAACACAACGATCTGACAGAATAATGCTTGTTTTGCAATTTCAGATACCCTAGAATTTGCTATGTCCCATACTAAAATGCATGATACTCTCGATTTCAATTAAAGGCATGTATGTTGGAGACACTGTGAGCACAAACCCTTATTACAGGACTCTGTGAAGTCAGTCACCATCCGTCAGAATGAAGGGAAAGACATGTCTCACCCATATTCCTAGGAGCTTTACACTGAGGTCACTGCAGTCAGGGATTGCCGAGGGTCCCTGGGACTTACCCCAGAGCCTTTCTCCGCTCTGCATTACTACACTTGATCTTAGCCAAAAGGCCGAGAAGCGATTGGCTCTGCATTAAATGGTGACATTGAAAATACCTTCATGAGTGCTGGTGTCTCCAGGCTGAAAGAAAGCACAGAGAGCCAACTCAGGATGCAGGTGGCATCAGCAGGGATGACAGTGGCTCCAGCCCCAGGATACAATATCACAGTCACAGAAGATCAGGGTTTGCATGTATTGTGTAGTGAAGATTTGAGCTCAGAGAAGACGTCCTTGGTGTCACATCGAGGGAGTCCTTCATTAAGCAAAGTTGATGGGCAGAACTTTCAGGACAGAGACAATCAGCAGGCCTTTAAACTCAAGGAGATTCTCGGGAGCACCCATCACTTGTCCTACAAATGATAGCTCATTGGGCTATTGACTCTTTACACACGATTCATTTGACTGGGAGGTGTGCACCCAAAGGCTGCCCATGGGACTACACATTTGTTACCAAGTATGTCCACACCCACACACCTTTCCTAGGAACCACTAGGGTTAGGACCTCTTGCTGTAGAGCTAGTCCTGGACACTAAGTGTGCTTTGTGACTCACACTGTCCCCACCCCCTCCTCTGACCCTAAGGGACTGAAATAAACAAGTGATGAAGCACGTGTTGTGGCACAGCATGCCTCTTGGGATCACTGGCCAGACATCCCATTTGTGACAGTGGCATTTATACCCTTGAGATACCCAAAGTGGATCCCTGGAACTCCAGGAACCTGGCCCTATCAGAAGTTCTCTACCCTAGCAGAGCCAGAACGGTGCCCTCCCTACTGCACTCTTGCAGAATTCCCAAAACTAAACTGACATGTTCTCTCAACCTGTGCCAATAGATCTTCCTGTGTGAGCTGGTGGCTCAGGTACCTGTGAACCCCGACTACCTACCTCAGACTGAGGTGAAGATTCCTAGGTTGAAAGGGAGGGGGAGCTGCATGGTAAGAGGGATTCCTGGAGGCTGAGGCCATGACCATTGGATGTTGAGGATGGAGGAGACCCCTGATGAAGGCTGATTGGTGGTGGGAGCATGTTGCCACAGGAGTTTGTCCTGGAAGTGCAAGCATTCCACACTCTGGTGGGGGACGACTGCCCACTGCCCACTGCCTCTCCTGCTTCTGGCCATCCACTGCTGCAGTGTAAGCACTTTGCTGTCCTCTCTGTGATGGCCTGGCTGACCTGCAGGTTCCCCAGGTGATGGGGAGGATGTGGGGTCTCCAGGATTGAAAGAGGCTGCCCCTTTGACTGCAGATCAATGAAACCCAACTCCAGTGCTCCTTTCGTCATAATCACCCAGCACCTGGAGTGGATCCTGGATCAGCTACCTGATCCATCACCCCACACCAGGAGTCCCTTGGTGTTCACTCAGGTTGAATGAGTAGGACCTTGATCCTAAGGGAATCCCATTGTATCTCCTCTTAAGAACTCCAGAGCACAACATGGGGGAAGTGGGCCTTAACTGTGGCAGGACCTCGTCAGCCTCCGGAGCAACTGGACTCAGACTGCAGGTTGGCAGGATGGAGCACACCTCAGAACTCACACTGAATTTTGGTTCCAGTAAGGTAGTATGGGCTATAATACCTATTGGCAGATGTGAGAACCAAGACAGTGTGCAGGACAACCTGGGTTGGGCACAACACCAGCCAATACAATAAGGGACATGACTGGTCACAGCCTGGGCTGGGTTAGGTGGCAGCACTCACTCACTCACTCACTCACCAACATGAGCAGCTGGGGCACACTGGGCCAGGCAAGGCTACATAACCTCGAGGTGCAGCCAAGGTGGGGCAGGCCATGCCAGATTGAACTGTAGCACCCACCAGCACATGTGAAGCGCTGCCAGGAGGAAGCAAACCTGAGGGGGCCAGCAAGAACACCCACTGTAGTGTTACTGATCCCGTGGTGAGCTGGTGGGAACTGGGACTGGGGACAGACAAGGTTAGGCAGAGTATAACACCCATTGGCCTGCATGTGAGCTAGATCATGGGGAGAGCAATGCTGGACTAACTGAATGTATCCATAGGTGCATGTATGTGCCAGGGCAAGTACCAGCTGGTCAGGTTTGGCCACATTATTAGCTGGCAAATACTTGGTAGTCCTTTCAAGCTAGACTGCAGGACTTTCTGTGAAGCACAAGATCTGGGACTGGTGGTGGGCCTAGCAGAGAAACAATGGGTACCTTTCTTTTGGGCTGAAGCTCCCATCAGTGAGCACGAGAACCAGGGCTGCGGGTGGACCTGGCTGGACTGGCGTTAGCACCAGCTAGCATAAATTTGGGCTGGATAGTGGAGTTGGCGTGCTGATCTAGGGAATAGCACTGACTGATGTGTACAAAGGCCAAATGGGATGTGGGACAGACAGAACCAATCTGCTGTACATACCAGCATATGCCGAAACCAAGGCAGGAGACCGGTTGGATGGGACTTATTGGGGTCATTCCAATCAAGCTGAATTCCCACTTGTGCATGAGGACCAAGTGTGTGGTGGGCAGCATCCACTTGTTTGCATAATGAATGGGACAGGAGACAGAACTGACCTAGCAACTACAACCACCTTTTGTAAGTGGAGGTTGATGTGGGTGATAGACTAAACTGGACATTGTACTGGCTAGCACACTCAGGAGTCAGGACTGGGGTCACTTCAGACTAGGTTTCTCTGGAGATACCCCAAACCGAACAACTGGACTCAGAACTCCAACCACGGAGACAATAGCAGGATCTGTGGGCTGAACATGGAATGCATGAATCAGAACTGGGCTTCTTCAGTTGCTGAAGACTGTGCCATGGGCAGCATGCTCAGATGCACAAGGGGCAGTGGCAGTCCATTGATGCCTACAGAGGATGTTTGGTATCATAGCAGAGGATGGAAGGCAGAACAAATTGGATAACTCTTGCAGGCAAGCATTGGCAGCAAGTATTTGGGTTTTTGGAGATTTTGTTAGCTGATGGACCTTGGAAGGATTTCTTCTTCCTTAGTTCAATGAAATGAACAACATTTCAGAACTATCCAAACCACTTCAGTAGTACAGCAAGAACATGCTCAATACCAGGCACCCTGGAATGGATATCATGTGTGTGTCCCCCATCCCCAAGTACTGATGTGGTTAGAGTTAGGGCGCAGTTTTCTCCCCTTCTCTTTTCCATTCAGCCAGATACAGGAGGAAAAAAAAGAAAATTGGGGAACAAATTATCTATTTTCCCAGTTCTTCACCCCTTCCCAAACTAATCAGGGTCCACAAAGCATGCATCCTTCTCAAGTATGTAAACATCATCCAATCAAAATAAAACAACGGAAAACAAAACATGGGGGAAGCAGCTGCGAGTATTTAGTAGTTTAACTGGGAGAAATTCTTAAGGGGTTGGGGGTTGGAGAAGAGCACAAACAAGAGGATTTCCAAAGTTAGCATCTGAGGGAGCAGCACAAGTAAATCGGGGTTAGGAGGTAGGGTCCCCTTCTCTGAGTTCCAGCCCACCAAGATTCTGGAGAAGGGAACACCCAAGCAACCATCTCCAGGGCCAAGAACATGACTCCTCTGACTACAGGGGCTCTCAGGAGGGGGTCCTTCTGCCACACATCCCAGGCCAACATCCCAGCTCTACTGAAGCAGGTCAGACCTCTTACTGCCCTTGTCACCAGAATCACCCCCCAACCTGAATGACCATCTGACTTGAGCCAACTGCTTTTCACTATGGAAAGACCCCAGGGGTGGCACGATCAAGGTCCTGGACACATCCAGCAGGCCTGATGCCTACCAGCCCCTCCTCCATCACCAATGCCCTGCTCCCAGCTGCCCATGATGACAACCCCAGAGAACCAGGTCCTACCCGCTGTTGCTCATTGCCCTCATCCCACAAGCTCCTCAGCATATGCAGACTACACTGCCAGAGCCAGGCCCTCCCACCATGCTGCCCTCAGTCAAGGAGAGCAGGAGTATCAAGGCAGCAGCCCCAAGCCAGAACCTGCGGGCCTGAATACAGGCTGCCCCTGCCATGACCACAGAAAATTTCATTAGTGCTTGTTTTTCTGCCTCACAGCCATGGGAGGTCAGGACTTGCCCTCAACAATAACCCCCCATCTGTGGTGGTGAACTCGCTGAAGGCATAGGGCCAGGGAGCACTTGTGCCATGCTCAGCACAACCTGCCCCAATGACAGCCCTGGAATGGACCAAAGCCTTAAAACCAGCTGTAGTTGCCTGGAAACCTGAGGACAGACTCCCTTGTCCTGGCTGCTGCCTCACCCCTCTTCAGCTTGAGCTAATTATCCATGTGTCCCTGCCCCACACTGCATCTTGCCTGCTACCATCACCTCAACTGTGAGGCAGACAGTCTCCTATGCCACCAAGAACATCACATCAAGCCGTTTATGCCCAGCCTTCAGTGCTGAGGGTACACTCCTAGCAGTGGGGACTGGGGGTTCTTGGGCCTCTGCATTTGGCCGTCAGGACATGCGTGTGAGTACAGAGTGGCAGCCCTGGCGGGCCTGACCAACTCCACTCCCCATGTAGCAGGGCCTTAGCGTGGACTCGGGACAGAGCACTTGGCTGAATAAACCCCTAGGCTTGCTCTCTTTGGGGGCTCTCCCAACAGACACAGCTGACTGACTCATGAGACGAACACATGCAAATTACTTAAGCCAATTTCAATCAAACTGCCAGGCTGCCTCTGGACAGCCCTCATCCAGTCAGCCCAGAGTGCCCTCCTTCCTGCCCCTACTCCCATGGCACCAGGCAGGTTCTTGGTCATGGTATCCACAGCACCTTCTAGAAATTTCTTCACTTTTTTACCAGGAACAGATCAGTTGCTGGGCCAAGGTTTAAGCAGGCAGTTGGTGACAAGTGTCAGATGTGGGTCTGGCCTTGACTAGACACTGCCCGGTGAGGAAATGCTGGGCACTGCAGGCCTCAGTTCAGAGGGATGGGGATGGCCCAGCAAGCTCTTGACTTAAACACCTGGAAGAGTAAAGCATCAGTGAGCTCCACAGTTGGCTGCCATTGAACTCCCACTCAGTCCTGTCTGTTCCCACACCCAGCCCCCTGGACAGCCACTTCATCAGTCCTTCTAGCACTAGATCTTCAGCTGCCCATGTCCATATCCAACCAGGCCACAATTACTCCTCCCTCAGGGAAGAACGGTTCCCCTGATTGCTGGGATCCTGCCCTGCACCCCTCTGCCCCAGGCCAACCACACCACAGCCCTAGATCCACTCTTACCTGGATTATGTAAAGAATGATTCCCATCTGGAAACCTGAAAGATGCCATCTCACAGATGCAGGGAAGAGGCGTATTGCACGCCTGTGTCTTCAGAGACCATAATCCATTGTACTCTAACATGGCACAGTTTGAGCTACCACGACCAAACCTGCAGGGGTAAGGTCAAATCAGGAGATTACTGAATCTTCCCCTGTGTCCCCCAGCCCTGCAAGAAATCTAGTATCAGTCCCAATCAACTCTGCTTGCCTAGCGCACAGCTCAGGAATAGACATCTGATGTCAAGTGTAAAGGCTGGAGGGTCAGAGAAGAGCCAGTTACTCAAGGTCTGCAGGACAGAAACACCCCAGTTACCAGGAACACAAGCAAGTGGCCACCTTGTCTCAGGACTCACCCTCTGCTCTAGTTCCTTGGCACTGCTCTAGCGCCCCCAGTGGCCCTGACTGGGACAGCCCAGCTTCAGTTGGGCAGGTGTGTCTAGGGATGGCAAGTTAGAATGCCCAGGTATTCCAGCAGCTGTAAAACCTTGGCTGAAAATCAGCTTCTGCCTCTGAATGAGGCTGCAGATACAAACCTAGAAATTATTTCATTATTTTTAACAGTGGCAGGGAGTTCTAGACACTTGGGAATAGAATGAAGACTAAGACTCCCCGCCCCAAAACATCATTAAATAGATGAAAACAAATACACAATTGTCATACTAACTAATGGAAACATTCTGGAATCACGACCTAAGGAGGAAGTCGCCTTGATATGCCTTCATGAGAAGATGACACAGAGCTGGAAACACTGAGAACTCTACACACACTCACCCACCATATGGCGTACCGTCACTCCACCTCCAGCCCTTGTTATAGCTGAGGCCAACCCAAAAGGAAGCGTCCTTGGATAACTGCGACAACAAGCTGTTCCAGGCATAACGCTGAGGGGAGATTCAGAGAGCACAGGTGGGTGGACAAAGACACATGCCAAGGATGAGGGTGACAGGTGACAGACAGGTCAGTGCCTGCCTGTGGTCCCTGACCACCTTTGGTTACTGGGCCCTGCACACCTCAAGGCCACATGTCAGCCAGCTAACAGTTCCTGCAATGTGGGTTCATGAGGAGCAACCACCCGCAGTGCCATGCCACTGGGTGGAAAGGCTGCTGGCTACTCGGTGCTGAGGATTGTGACTGTTCTTGTCCACCAAGCCATGGGACTGGCATGCACTACCGATCATAATCTGATGCTGTGTCTCTATCAAATGCCCCGCCCCCTCCAGTTCACTTACTTCATGATAAAAACGACCCCAAGAAGAACCTCTGAATTTGGCCAAGTTGGATGACAGAGATTTGCAGTACTCCCAGCTTTCCTGCCAATTTCTCTTGGTGATTGAGATGTGAAAGCACCTTCCCCAGGTGGGTATCCAGCCGACCGCACAGCAGGTGTCTAAAAAGTAGGAAGGGTGTGACAGGAACACCGCCTAGGATGAAAGTGACACCCCAGGATCTGCCTGCAAACCCCTGGGTCAAGGCCATCACCCCTGTGGATGTCTGGTAACAAATGTCTACAATTCTCAGCTCTGTCTCCTCCAACACAGAAAATGCCCTGTCTATATATACTCCGTAAAAGGCCTTCACACTCAATTGCCTCACTTCCTAACACTCAGAGTTCACAAAGCACTGATGTTTCTAATGTTACTGCTCCTCATTTATGCATACTTTATAATATACCCCGCATTTTGTTAAGTCTCACTTTTGCAATGCGACCGTCCTTTGGGCCTCTCACTCATTCATTCTTCTCTTTGCTGCCTAAAGCATTCCCCATTTCACATCCAAGTCATTTCCACATGCATTACTTTAAACTGTGATCAAGCAACTAGAACGACATGGTTAGATTGGGATTCCATGAGTAGCCTTTCACTTGTAAAAGCCTTCCCTGGCTCCATTGAGTGGGCTGGGGAGAGTAGGGTAATAAATACAGAAAAATTCAAAGATAGAGATGGGCAAAATGTCAAATGTCTCCTCAGACCTTCATGTGGAGCATGCAGGCCTTGGGGTACAAGATGGGGGTATTTGCCAATGGAAGAGGATGGTGGGGAGGTGGAAAGAAGCATAGTGGAGCTGTGCTGAAAGCTACTCAGGGCACCAAACATGGCCAAATACTGTGTCTTAGTAGCAGTACACAGAATATTCCCTTGATGCGACACACCCTGGTGCAGCCCCAGGTACAATGATCAACTGGATTCGTGCAGAGTTCAGCTCTTGGCAGTGAAGCACACATGAAGAACAGTGGGAAAATGGAGTGAGTGGTTGGGTGATGGATTGGTCCCTAGCACAAGCAGGGAGAGACGTGAAGACAGGAGGCACCACAAGCTGTGGACCTCTGTGAAGTGGCAGAGATGTGGAGTGGAAGAAGCTGTCGTGTGAACAGTCGTTCAGTGCTGTTCTTTCAATGGAAGAGCAGTTGGAGATGCTGTGGGGGAACGGGGGTCTTGGGGGGCAGCCCTGGTATGGGACCTCACAGCACAGAGCAGAAGAATCAGAAAATGACAGTTGGAGGTGTCTGCACACACTCTTCCTGCCCCCTCAGACAGCAAGAGTCTAACTGACCACACTTTCAAGATCTCCCTCTACAATTGTTTGTGACTTTAGGCACCTTGCCTAGAACCCCAACCTTCCTTGGCCTGGTCTTTCTCTTCCACGTGTCCCTTCTCCCATTGCTGCTTTCAAAGAGGATAGACCAGGTGGAGCAGGGTTCTGCCACACCCTTACTCCCCAAATCCATGCATCTCCTGGTGAGGGCCTGGTGGACTTCAGCCACATTACCCCCTGCCGGCCTGCACCTAGAGCAGCAGGTGATGCTTCACTTTGAGGTGGTCTCCATGGGAGCCAGGACTTAGTGAAGCTATGTCCTGTGAAACCAGGTAAAGCAACTTCACCAACAAGTGCCAGGGTTCCAGATGCCTCCTGCTCTCCATGGGCTGAAACTGACTTACACTGCGCTCTGCCAGCCTTGGAGGTAAGGGTGGTTCACAGATCCAGTGTGTAGCTTCATCCTTCTCCTTGCTGGCCAGCAGCGACAGTTCTGGTCAACACTAGCTCTGCTCCACTGCCTTTTTGTTTTGTTTTTTGCAAAACTCATTGCCTCCTGAGTGTTCCCAGACCCCTGCCTGTGGTGCTCCCTCGCCTGAACCCCTCATGTCCAGCAAGCCCTTCTACCTCCCCTGTGCACAGAGCAGGTACCTTGTGAGGGGCAGGTGAAGAAGGGCCTCAGTGTGTCCTGCAGGTGGCTCAGCTTCTGCTGCACTGCCAGCAAGTTCTCTTGCATCTTCGTCCTGTTTGCCTGGTAGAGCTGCAGCTGCTCCTCAGCAGCCTGGTGTGCCCTCTGCTCCTCTTCTAGTGCTCTCTGACTCTGGGCCAGCTGTTCCTTGGAGTCTTGCAGGTTCTTTTCCATCTGTCGCATTTGGGTGGTTCCAAGGTGGAGCTGTTCCTCAAGGCTGCTGTTCTTGGCTTCCAGCAGCATGCTTATCTGCCCAAACTGCTGAGACACCTGCAGGTCTGGGCGGCCACAGGGAGGGGATGCAGAGGCAGATGTGAACACCTGCTGCAGCCATGACCATGGAGCCCTGACACTGTGCCATCGGACCACTATTCTGTGTCTTGTGACTCTTCCCACCACAGTGTATGACATCTGACCCCCAGGAGTTTGGTGATTCGGGAAGACACGTCGCTTGTGAGCAATGGGGCTGGGAATTATCCCCAAAGCTGAGGGTGTGAGGGACATGGCTGTGAGGTCTGCTGAACAAGGGTAGCTGAGGCTGGGGAGAGCAGTAAATGAGGTAGTTTGGGAGGCAGGGCCAGCCATACTCACAGTGCATGCCCAGGCACATGGCAGCCACTTTTACCAGCAGACACATGAGGAGGAGGCCCAGCAGGAAGTATTTTAAACAGCTGGAATGGTCATGGCCTTCAAAGAGAGAGGGAGGAAAATTGAGGCTCTGGAGTGGGAGTAGGCAGGGTTTCTGACCTCCACAACTCTAGGAGCCACTGCAGAGGTGAGGGGGTGGATAATGGCCAACCCACCTGTGTGCTGGTGCGATTTGGAGCTAAGGAGGGAAAATGTTCAAGAATATGGGTTGAGGGTTGCTCCTGATAAGGCGGATGGAGGGTCATTACCTTGTATCAAGGGGAACTAACACTCAAGAAGAGAGGAAATGGGTGGGGAGAGACAGGGATGGGGACCTTCCAGGGGTATGGTGTGCCTCTGGGGCCACGGCCAGAAGGCTCATCTCCATCAAGGCACACCGTGGGACACATGAGCTGGTCCTACCCTATAGCCTCCCTCCCTCCCTCTCTGGACTCCTACACTGCTGGTGAAGCTAGTGAGCAGACAGAACTCATTGGAGGAGAATCTCCCTGGCAGCTGAGGAAAGGGCACAACTCCAGGACAAGGCTGGCTGCCCCCACTGCAAAGCAAGGCCATGTCCCAAACCCTCCTGCCAACTAAAGCACCAACTCTGTGGACCCCTGCTGCTGCCCTCCACCTGCAACTGCTCTAGGACATCCTTGCCACCTGGGGGACTTCTGGTCACCTCAAGGCTCCTGCCCAGGTATCTCCTCTGATCTTCCCTAGGGGATTCCATCATGGCTCTCACAGGGTTCCCTTTCTGGTTTCCTCAAAGTGCAAAGGGGTTGATCCCCAACCCTCCTCCCGATTCATTGCTCTCCAGTATTTGTCTTTCCCTTTTCTCTCACGCCTCCCTGTTCCTCATCAGAGCTCAGCCTCCCAGGGCTGCCCCATGCTGTGCCCCAAACCCCACCATGACCCTAACTGGCTTCGGGATGCTGTTGGCATCTGATTCAAATTCCTGTTCCTTTTACTCCTTCCCAACTTTGGGTATCATCTTTTGGAGATGATGGTGGTCTCCCCCACTCCGTATACAACCCATTTCCAACACCACCCACACAGATTCTGCAGGCTTGCAATACCTGCTTGGTCCCCTGGTGTGGGGGGCAGCACCAAGCCTGTGGGAGCCTCCAGGGACTCATGCACCTGCACATTGTAGCTGAGCTCTCCATCCTCATTGGTGTCTGGGGGAGATGAGGAGAGAAGAAGTAAGGAGAGGTGAGGAGGGGAGGTGAGGGGAGGGGAGGGGAGAGGAGTGGAGGGGAGGGGAGGGGAGGTAGAGGAGGGAAGGGAGAGAAAGGGAGGGGAGAGGAGGGGAGGGACCCCATGGCAATGCTGCTGGGGGATGGGGATGTGGGGACTCAGGGGAAGATCAGGCTGTGTCTGCTCTTACCCTGCCCCAGCTTGGAGATGTCCTTCCTCAGAGGAGCCTTCACAAACCGCAGGTCTGCATAGCTGATGGCTTCTGCCATGTTCCCACACAGCACCCCTAACCCAGCCCTGCCTGCTTGCTCACCTAAGCCCCCACCTCTCCTGCTTAACTCACTCCAGAGCTCCGAGTTGCCTCTGTGGCCACACAACTCAGCACTTGACCCTCTGCCTTGCAGTCACAAAAGAGGAAGCTGGGAGTGTGTCTCTGAGGGACGGGCTCAGTGAAGCAGAAGCATCATTGCGCGCTGGCCAAAGGGCAGGGGGACACTGGGACCAGAGCCCAGAACAGGGGAACTGGCTTATTAGATGTACCACATTTGCACTGTGACAATACTGGGTTCCAGGACTCCTCCATTGCTGATCAATCCTGCTCCCTGGGCCATGTGTGTGTGTGTGTGTGTGTTAGTAGTTGCTACTCTCTGGAATTTCAGGCAGATATGTGGATTTCCTCAAATGGATCCTGATTTACTCCAATGTTACCCTGCCTCCATCTGCTTGAGAATTCGAGAACTAACAAGTGAAGAGGGAAAACACAGGCACCCACTTCTAAGCCCTTCCTGGGGATTAAATGGCCTTGGGAGGAGGCACATGGATCCACAATGAAAACTCAGCTTCCATGCTGCCCTCCTCCCCTCCTCACAACATCTCCCTTTCCTCCATCCAGTCCTGGTACACCTCTGGCAATATCTGGGCACGACGCCAGGGTAGGGGTAGTCAGATCAGGTGCTCAGGAATCACCAGGAGCCACATCTTCCTAGTCCACTGAGGCCGAGAGCTTAGGAAGGCCCAGATGCTGAGTGTGAGACTCCAAGGCCACCGAGATTTTCTCATTTCCTTAGTTTCACTTCTCTAGAAACATCCTCCACACGGCCCCAGCACATCTTGCTCTGTACTTACTCAGCCCTGAGAGGAAATGGGGTGAGGAAGTTCCAAGGCCAGACAGGCCCATGTGAATGGTGAGGGCCCAACCAACTGCTGGGGAAGAGGAGACAAGGGAAGGGCTGAGGAAGGCCTGTGGGGCACCAGTGCTCCAAAGAGTTTTCTCAGACATTTTGGGTTCCAAGATGCCACCCCTCACAGAGGCACTTCCCCAGGCCTTATATCCAGGGATCACACCAGGATCTGACCCCAAGAGGGAGGCAGCAATGACCCGCTTTGCAGGTGACACCTGTCATCTCACCCCACATGCCTCCTGAGTTGTAGAGCAAAATGTCCAAACAATAGGCTAATGGTGCCAGTTCATGTCCCAGCTGCTCTACTTCCAATCTCACTTGCTGCTAAAGCCTGGGAAAGCAGCAAAAGCTGACAAATGTTTGGGGCCGCATAACCATGTGGGAGAGATTGGAAGAAGCTCCTGGGTTCAGCCTGCCCCAGCCCTTGCTGTTGTGGGCCATTTGGGGAGTTAACCAATGAACACACAATTCTCTCTTTATCTATCTATCTATCTATCTATCTATCTATCTATCTATCTATCTATCTATCTATCTCTTTCACTCCCTCTTTTTCTGTAATATTCCCATTCAAGTAAATAAATAAGCATATATTTACAAAATTGTTCCCTTGGCTACTGCCTAGGCATGACAAAAGGATGGCTTTCTTAAAACACGCAGATTGCAGGCCTGGAGCCTGTGAACATGCAACTTACTACAGATATGCACATATGACCAAGTGGAGGCCCCTTCGATGGGGAAATTAGCCTGTTTGATCCTCATCAATCCACCAATTATACCCCTGCCAGTCTTGAGAAGAAAGAAACTGGATGAGGAACGAAGAGTCGGAGAGGTGTGAGGTGAGGATGACTCCCACAGCACTTGCTGGGTCTGCAGGTGAAGAAAGGGGACCAGCAGCCAAGGGATGCAGGAAGCCCTTGGACACTGGGAAAAGCAGGGAGTTGGTTTTTTATGAGCCTGCAGAAAAGAACCAGCCCTGGTTCCTGCTTGAATTTAGTCTAAGGATGCCTGTTTTGCGATTGTGACCTCCAGGTCCCTCAGAGAATACATCTCCAACACTGTTGGGTGTGTCTGTTTGTTACAGCAGTGATAGCTGCACTTCCCGAGCATCAAAGAAACATGATGCAAAGGGAAGACAATGATCTGGCAGATTAAGGCTGGCCCTGCCACTCTGGGTGGCTGGACAAGTCGCTATTTCCCACGTGCACAATGCAAGACAGTCTAGATCTCAATTAAAGGCGTACATGCTGGAGACACGGTGAGCACAAACTTTATGACAGGACTCTGTGAAGTCAGTCACCATCCGTCAGAGTGGAGGGAGAGACACGGGTCACCCATGGCTCAGTAGGACCTTCACATTGGAGTCACTGCAGCCAGGGAGTGCCGAGGGTCCTTGGGACTTGCCCCGGGGCCTTTCCTTGGTCCAGTGTTGAATGGTGACAGAAAGCACCTTCATCATTGCTGGTGGCACCAGACTGAAAGCAAGCTCAGAAGAGCCACAGGATGCGAGTGACATCAGCAGGGAAGACACCAGCTCCAGCCACAAAATGAAATGTGGCAGAGATAATTGATTAGGGTTCACTTGTATTGACGAATGAAGTGTGAGCACCGTAATAAAATGGCCTCAGTGTCAAGTGGAGGGAGTGCTCACTTAAGTAGAATTAATGGTCAGAACTATCAGAGTGAGAGGTGGCTAACAGGCATTTACACTGCAGGGATTTTAGACAGCACAGCTTACTTGTCCTACAAAGTACAGTTCAGTGAGCTTTTGGCTCATTACAAAGTATCCATGTACCTCAGAGGTTTGTTTTGAAAGGCTGCCCATGGAACTACAGCTTTGTTCTCAAATATGTCCACACCCACACCCCTCTCCAAGGGGCAACCCCTTGCTGTTGAGCTAGTCCTGAACCCTAATTCTGCTTGGTGACTCACACCCAACACCATGACCTCAGGGGATTGAAATACACAGAGGTGAGACAGGTGTTATGGCAAGCAGGCTGCATGCCTCCAAGGATATACTGGGTTGACAATTTCCTTCAGATACTCTGAGGGGACCCCAAAATCCCATGTTCCAGCCCCCGAGAGGCACTCTCTAAGTAGCAGAGCTGACATGGTGCCCTCCCCACCACATCCCAGCAGAATTCCCAACTGGAAACTGACATGTTACTTCTCAATGCTTTCCGATGGACCCTCCTATAAGAGCTGATCACCTGAGTACCAGCAAATCAAAACTTCTCACCTCAGACTGAGGTGAAGGTTTCTAGGTTGAAAACAAACGGGGAACTGCATGCCTCGGGGCTCCGTGGAGGCTGAGGCCCTGACTGCTGGGTGCTGGTGGAAGGAAACCCCAAGCAAGGCTGTTTGGAGGTGCCTCCCCTGTCGCCACAGGGCTTTGGCCTGGATGTGCCTGCTTTCTGCACCCTTGTGGGGGAGTCACTGCAGCCAGGGAGTGCCGAGGGTCCTTGGGACTTGCCAGGGAGTCTTTCCTTGGTCCTGTGTTAAATGGTGACATAGAAAGCACCTTCATCATTGCCAGTGGCAGCAGGGAAGCACAGAAGCACAGAAAGACCAATTCAGGATACAAGCGATACCAGCAGGGACTTCAGCAGCTCCAGCCGTTGAATGAAATGTCACAGAGATAAATGACCAAGTCTGGCCAATATTCAGTATTGTAGTGCTGTGCTCCAAGAAAAACATGGCCTCAGTGTGAAATGGAGGGACGCTGCTTAAGCAGTTGTTGGGCAAAACTTTCAGGGGAAAGGCAATCAGCAGGCCTTACACTCAAGGAGATTCAATGAAGTCAATCCATTTGTCTTACAAATGAGAGCTCAGTGGACTATTATCCCATTGTAAACTATCCCTGTGATTGGAAGGTTAGCAGCAAAACGCTGCCCATCGGGCTACAGCTTAGTCCAACTATGTCCACAGCCACACCCTTTTCCAACCACACCCCTTGCTGCTGAGCTAATCCTGGACCCTAAGTAAACTCTATGACTCACATCTTTGCCACCCTTCCTCTATTCCTAAGGGATTGAAATAAACAAGGGATGAGGCAGGTGTTGTGGCCACATGGGATTCCAAACTCTCTGCCCCAGGAGAGCTCGCACAGTGCCTTCCCAACACACTTCGCAGAATACACAAAAAGAAACCAACATGATCTTTTCCTCAAACATCGCCAGTGGATCCTTCTGTGTGAGCTTATTGTCCAAGTACCTGCAGACATGGTGAAGGTTTCCAGGCTGGAAAAGAAGGAGTGCTGCACCCAAGGGGGCCCCTCTGGAAGCTAAGACCCTGGCTGTTGGGTGATGGGGGAGTAGGCCAAGAGGAAGGCTGGTTGGAGTGTGCCTTTGTCTCACCGCGGGACATCAGCCTTGCAGCACCCAGATGGAGGACGACTACCCACTGCCTTTCTTAGTTACAGCCATTCACCACTACACCACAAACACTTCACTCCCCTCCCAGAACTGGCCTGGTCACCCACAGTTGTCCACAGTGGTCCCCAAGTGGTGGAATGGAGATGGCATATTCACAGAGAGAATGAAACTTCCTCTTACTTATCCATCAGATGGAACACAGCACTTATGCTCCCATCACCAATTTCACCCAGCACCTGGAGTGGATCCTGTAACAGCTGTCTGAACCAGCCCCCCACACCAGGAGTACCCTGATGTTCAATCAGGGTAAGCAAGTGGGACCTTGACCCCCAGGAAATACCTTTGCCTCTCTCCTCCTCAGAACTCACCAGCACAACATGGGGGAAGTAGGTTTCCATCATGGCAGTGTGCCTAGACAGCATCAGGGGGCCTGGGCAATGGGGTGGGGGCCTGGCAGAAGGACCCAGGCAGGCAGAGGGGGTTGAGAGTGGTAGGATTCCAGGCTGGCATGCTGACGTGGTATGATGGTGGACTGAGCTTGTGGACTCATTAACCTGCATGTGTCCTGGCTGGGAAGAAAGATAGAATCCCTGGCCAGCACATGTGTTGGAGGACAAGCCCTGGAATCCCAGGTGGACAGGTAGGGTTCCAGGCCAGCAAGCCATCATGCCAGAGACCAGTTGGGGAACCCATGTCCTTGCCTGCCCAGGGGCTCTGGATTGATCAGGGAAATAAGAACAGGATGTGTTAGGAGCGGGGACTGCTGAGGGAGTAACTTACATGTGAGGAATGGCTTCTGGGAGACTTTTACCAATAAGGCCATTCTATTTACAGGTAAGTGAGGGGGCTGAGGCCACATGGTTTACTGGAGGGAAGCTGAAACATGTTTCAGGGTCACACTGATCTACTTGCCCATGTGGGAGACCTGAGTTAAGCTAATTAGCATCAACCACCATTGACCACCATCCATGAGTGCATTCTGAAGTTAGGGCTGAGGGCCTATCTGGCAGGGGCAGATCACAGTACCCACAGTGAGTGTTGAAACAAGGGACGGGTAATGTTAGGCTGGGGCATGAACCAACCATCACACAAGAACTAGGTCTAACCTGTGGGACTGTGGTATCCACTGGTTTGCTCAACAAGGGGGATAGGTGACAGCCTAAGCTACACATGAGTATGGAAACCCCTGATACCCATGGATACTGGGCTTCCCGACAGGCAGTGCTGGCCCAGGATGTAGTAGTATTCATAGGCACACCCAGGGGTAGGGTGTGGAATGGGCTGGGCTGTAACATCCACCAGCAGATGCATGGGCAGACAGGGTGACAGACTATGTGGATTAAGGACCTAGCACCCAGTGGCACATGTGAGATCTGGGTTGGGATGTATGCCTAGCAGGGAAAGTTGGGGACTCCCCTGATGGAGCTCTGGCTGGTGAGCACATGAGTCATGGTTGGATGATGGACAGGCAAGACTGCTCCACTTGTCAGCAAGTGTGTAGGCTAGTTCTGAGGGGAGGTGAAGCAAACAGTGCAGGACCAGGCAAAACCTTAGCAAACTGGCATGTGCAGGAGGCAGGATGTAGTGTGGACCATACTGGACTAGGCTATCATACCTACTAGTTTACATGAAAACGGGGATGAGGGCCAACTGGGCAAAGCTAGGCTGAAGCACCTACCAGCAAGTTATGGGGCTGGGTGTGGGCTGGGACAGGACAGGCTGCAGCATCTGATGGAAAAGGCCAAGATCGAAGATATGCTATGAAGGCTCTGTTAAAGCAGCCAGCAGCATGCATAAAATCTGTTGCTGGGAACGGTCGTGGTCTGGAAGTTAAGGGGACGTCCTGGCTGTGTTCTGGTTCCTGCTGAAGAACACCAAGACCCATAATAGGGCTGTGAACTGGGCTTAACATAGCTGAAATATACCTTGGTATGGGTGTGTGACTGAGTTTGGGGTGTACCAAACTGGGCTAGGCTCCAGGACCTGCTGGTGCTCACAAGAGCCAGTTGAGCATAGGATAAGATCGACTAGGTCTCAGCAACCATGCAAGAGCTGGGTTTGGTGGTTAATCAGGTGTGGCTGGACTATAGCACTCAACAGTAAGAGCCACAATATGGGTGGGCTGCTAGAACAATGCCGCTCTACCTGCCAGGATGGGAGGTGGGCCACATCAGGCTGGGTCAAGCAACAACCAGTGTCCAGGAGATCTGCCCCTGAGGGAGACATGATAGAGGAGCTTGAGAAACTCCTCTGTCAGGATGCAGTCCCTACAGGTGAGTGCAAGAATCAGGACTGGGTACAACACAGACCAGGTTACATTACCTGACAGTGTATGTAGGGGTCAGAACTGGAGGCTGTGTAACAGGCCAAGCCACCCACGCCCAGCCTGCAGCTGACAGGGGCAGTCTCCTAGCAGTGGGGCCTTGGGGTTTTAGGCCTCCTACTTTGGCCTTCAAGACACACCTGCAAGCACAGAGTGCCAGCCCCGGCTAGGCTGACTGGCTCTGCTCCCCTACAACGGAGCATGGACTTGAGGGACAGACCACTTGGCCAATCCCAACCCAAAGCTTCCTCTCCTATGTGGCTCATCCAACCAGACACAGCATTTCTGACACACAAAAATAACATGTGCAAATTGATTAAAGCGATTTCAATCAAACTGTTTAGCTGGCTCCAGGCTGGCCTCATCCACTCAGCCCATGCGCCCTCCTCACTGCCCCCACTCCCATGCCACTGAGACAGATTCTTGAACACGTGATCTAGAGTCCCTTCTAGAAGCTTCTTCACCCTTTTCCTAGGAACACACCAGTTTCTTGGACAAGGTTTGAAGCAGGCAGAGTGCTGGTGACAAGTGTCAGGAGTGGGTCAGGCTTTGGCTAGGCACTGTCCAGTTATGACATACTGGACATTTCAGGCCCCAGGTCAGAGGAGAAGGCCCTGCAGGCTCTAGGCATGAACACCTGTAAGAATAAAGCATCAGTGAGCTCCACAGCTGGCTGCCTTGATGGCCCCCACTCAGCCCACTCCACCTTGCACCCAGCTACCTGGACAGCTACTTCACCAGTTCCCTTCAATGTTGTCTTACATGTCCCTGCCCCTGCACATGCCCACCAAGGCACAATTCCTCCCCCAGGAAGAACTTTTCCCTCTTACCTCTGGGACCCCAACATATACCCTTCTGCCCCAGACCCTTGCTCCACTCTTACTTGAATTCTGCAAAGAGTAGCTCCCATATGGAAACCTGAACGACGCCATCTCACAGATGCAGGGGAGAGGGGTACTGCACGCCTTTGACTTCAGAGACCACGATGAGCTGTAGTCTATCATGGAGCACCGGCTGGTGGGGAAGTCAATCAAGTGATTACTGAATCTTCCCAGCCCAACCTTCCCTCAGTATCCTTGCCTGTTGGAAACCTGACCCATTCCTAACTGTCCAGATCTCTAGATGTCAACCAAAGATGTCTGTTATTCGAGGTCTGCAGGAAACACCCCAGTTACTCAGAAACACAAGCAAGTGGCCACCTTGTCTCAGGACTCACCCTCTGCTCTAGTTCCTTGACACTGCTCTAGCGCCCCCAGTGGCCCTGACTGGTACAGAGCAGCCTCAGTTGGGCAGGTGTGTCTAGGAATGCCCAGGTTGGAATGCCCAGGTTTCCCATCAGCTGTAAAACTTGGGTGAACTTGAGCTTCTCCCTCTAACTATTTCATTGTTTTTAACTGCACTAGGGAATTCTGGATACTAAGGAATAAAGACTAACACTCCCTAAGCATTTGTAAATAGAGGAAACAAATAGGCAATTGTAATATTAACTGATGCCAACTTTCAGGTTCAGGATCTGAGGAGGAAGTTACCTTGGTATGTTATTATTAGGAAGTAACATAGCGCTGGAAACACTCGAAACTCCTGATACACTCACCCTCGATACCACAACTGGTCCCAGGTGAAGCTGTGGCCAACCCAATATGGAGTTTTCTCAGATAACTGTGACAATAAGCTCTTCCAGGGAGAACTCTGAAGAAAGATTCGGAGAGCACAGGTGTTTGGACAAAAACACACAGAAAGGATGAGCTTCCGAAAGAAGGCTGAGCCTGCCTGTGGTACCAGAATGCCCACAGGTGACCAGGTTCTGTGGTCCTCAAGGGCCACATCTGAGCCAACAGACTTCCTACCAGCACTGCCTGGTGAAGACGGGCTGCCCGCAGCAATGTGCTGCAAGACAGGAAGGGTTACTGACCACTCGGTGCTAAGGGTCGAGACTGTCCATGTCTGCCAGGCCACAGGGTCAGCATGTACTACTGATCCTGACCTGATGGAAGACTCCCCGGACTTACTTCTGAATAATAATAATTCCAACGATTGTCTCTGATTGTGGTCAGATTGGACGACAGAGATTTGCAATACTTCTGGCTTTCCTGCCAATCCCTCTTAGTGAGTGAGATGTGAAAGCATCTTCTCTGGATCAGTACCCAGCCCACCACACAGCAGGTGTCTAGAAAGCAGGGAGAGTGTGAGGGCAAGATCACCTAGGATGAAAGTGACATCCCCATAATACAGCTGCTACACACATCCTCCTGCTTCAGGAGCCACCACCCTTCAGCCCCCAGACCTCTCTGCAATCCTCCTTAGCCCTGCTCTGCCCCCTCCACCACAAAATAAAAAATCCATGCCCTGTCTATGTGTACTCAGTAAAAGGCCATCACACTTAGTGGCATGACTTCCTCACACTATGAGAGTTTCCATAGCACCCGTGTCTACCCATCCCACCCCTCCTCAGTTCTGAACCTTTGCAGTACACCCCTAATTTTGTCCAGTTTCACCATGGCCCCACAATAATCCACTGGGCTCTCGCCCCTTCATTCTTCTCTTTTGCTACCTAAGCAGTTGCCACCACACATTCAAACCATTGCCACATGGATTTCCTTAACTGTGATCAAGCCACTAGAATGAAAAGGCCTGGATGGGATGTTATGAGCAGATTTTTATTTGTGAAGGACTTTCCTGCCTCCAAAAAAAAAAAAATGCTGACTAGGGAACAAATTCAAAGTTAGTGATAGGCAAGACATCAAGTGGTTCTGCAGACGTGGCATTGCAGCCTGCAGCTGGGATCACAAGATGAGGGCTTCTGCCAAGGCAGGAGGAAGGAGACATGCTGGGAGGGAGCTGCACTGGAAGCTGCCCAGGGCACCAGGCAGTGCTTGGTGACAGGAGTCTCACACCACGAGGCAGAATGACCCCCTGGCATGACGCACCTATGCTAGTCAAACACACGAAGGACACTGGACAAAGGAGTGAGCAGTTGGGTGATGGTTGGACTTCAGCACAGGCAGGGAGAGAAGTGAAGACAGGAAGCAGCTGACAGGCAGAGAGCAAGAGAAGGCACCAGCGATTTACAGGCCATGAGGTGGCAGAGGTGTGGGGTGAAGAAGCTGTCATCAGAGTAGGCAGTCACAACTGTTCTTTCAATGAAGGAGGAGTCAGGGATGCTGTGGCAATGGGGTACAGCCCTGGCAAGGGACTTTACAGCACAGAGAGGAGGATGACTCAGGAAATGACAGCTGGAGGTGTCTGCATGCGCTCTTCCTGCCCCTCAACAGCTACAGCCTAACCCTGACACACTCCCAAGCCCTCCCCAGGACAGTTCCAGTGACTCCTGGCACTTTGCCTGTAACCCCAGTCTGCCTTGGCCTAGCCTTTCCCGCCCACGTGTCCCTTCTCCCTTTGCTGCTTTCAAAGTTGATATTCCCAGGCAGGGAAGAGGGTCCACCGCACCATCAACTCCAAGCCTCCCAGCTTCCCACCTCCCTGTGAATGCCCAGGAGGACTTCAGCCGCCTTGCCCTCTAGTGCCCTGCCCTGAGCAGCCGAGCTGATTCTTCACCTTCAGTCAGACTCTAAGGGAATAAGGACTAAGTGAAGCTCTGTCCTTGAAACCATGGGAACCAACTTTATGAACAAGTGCCAGCCATTCTAGACCACTGCTATGGCATCAGTGGAGTGAAACTGATTTGCACTGCAGACTGCCCCCCTTGGAGATGACGGGAGTTCCCCTAGTTTCAGTGTAAAGCTTCATCCTTCTCTGTTTTCTGGTGGCAACAGCTCTTGCTAGCCCCAGCTCTCCTCCACTTCCCTTCGCTACTCCACTTCCCTTAGCTTGCAGCCTCATGAATACTCCCAGAACTCTATGTTGCCTCTCTCAGAGCCAATCACACCCAGCAAGCCATTTGAGCTTCCTCTTGCCCAGAGCAGATACCTTGTGAAGGGCACATGAAGAAGGGCCTCAGCATGTCCTCAAGGTGGCTCAGTTTCTGTTGGGAAGCCTGCAGATCTGGGAAACCACATAGAGACATTGGAAGAGGGGAATGTGGACACCTGCTGCAGCCATGCCCTGGAGCCCCACCTGGCAGTGCCCTTGACCCCGTTCTGTGTCTTGCAACTGTTCCCACCACAGAGCTGAACTATGACTTATGATGGCTGAGGAAGCTTGGTGTTGAAGGAAGTTAAGGTGCATGCGAGCTGAGGGCACTGGGAACCAACCCTAAAGCTAACAGTGTGAGGGATGTGGCTGTGGAGTCTGCTGGGCAAGCATAACTGAGGTTGGGAGAGCAGGGGACAAGGAAGGAGACTTAGGGTAAGTGGGGAGCCAGGGTCAGCCATACTCACATTGTACACTCAGGCAGGTGATAGCCACTTTTAACAGCAGGCAGATGACAAGCAGACCCAGCAGGAAGTACTGAGAGCACCTGGGTTGGCCATGGCCTTCACAGAGCAAAAGAGGAAAACTGAGGGACTGGGGCAGGATTGGGGGGAAACCCTGAGGACAACATACCTAGGAGGTCCCTTCGGAGGTGAGTGGTTGGGCAGTGGCCAGCACCCTATGTCTGGGGTGATTTGAAGGAGAAAAGTGAGAGTGTTTCAGGATAAGGGCTGGGGGTGTTCACTGCAAGGCAGGTGGAGGGTCATTGCCTGGTCGCAAGAGGAACTAACAGTCATGGGAGAGAGGAAATGGGTGCAGAGGGACAGGAATGGGGATGTCCCGGGGGTGGGGGATGTTGTGGGGTAGGGGACAGGCTCATCTCTGAGAAAGGGACGCTGAGAGGCCACATGGGCTCTTCCTGCTCCTGACTCTCCTTCCCTTTGTGAGGTTCCCACACATCTGATGACACAGCACAGCCCATGACTGCTGGGGACAGGAGCAGAGGTAGCAGCAGGCCAAGCCATGCAGTGCCCCAGAACCTTCCACCAATGAGAACCCTCAGCCCATGGCCCCACTGCTGCCCTCTGCCTGCAATTGTTCTCATGCCCTGAATACTGGCAGGGCTTCTGGGATTCCACCACTGGACTCCCTTGGCTCCTGACCGGCTTTCTCCCCTGATCTTCCTCCAGGGGACCCTATCATCAGCCTCCTGGGGTTCCCTTTAGGGTTTCCTCAAGGTGGAGAGGCATTGACCCCCCCCTCAGCCCTCCTCTTTATTGATCACTGTCCAATGTCTACCTTCTGATTTTCAATGCTGGACTCACCATTCCTCATCTTGGCTCAGCTCCCTGAGGCAGTCCTAGGTCCAGTGTCCACCAGGAAGCCCACTTGGCTTTGGGATGCTGCTGACGCCTGACTCCAATTGTTGTTCTTTTCCCTCCTAACCTAGCATAGCATCCTCTGAAGACTATTGTGTACTCTACCACTCCACACACAGCCGTCCCCACCTCCACACAAGTACTCTGGCATGCCTTACCTGCCTGATTCCCTGGTCCATGGGACAGCTCCAGGGCTGTGGGCACTTTTGTGTCTGATGGCACCTGCGGATTCTCATAGCTGAGCTCCCCATCCTCATCAGTATCTGCAAGAAGGGAACAGAGGACAGGGGAGTGGGGAGAGGAGAAGAGAGGAGAGGAGAGGAGAGGAGAGGAGAGGAGAGGAGAGGAGAGGAGAGGAGAGGAGAGGAGAGGAGAGGAGAGGAGAGGGGCAGCCTCACAGCAGTGGGGCTTAGGGCTGGGGTTTTGTGGGCTCAAAGGAAGGTGCTGTGGGTGTCCTTACCCTGCCCTGAATTGGACACGTCTTTCCTTAGAGAGGCCTTCAGCAATTGCTGGTCTGCATAGGTGATGGCCGCTGCCATGTTCCTTCACCCCTGCTCTCAGCCCTCTTTGCTTGCTTACCTAAGCCCCTCTACTCTCCCACCCTGCTCACTCAAGAGCTCTGAGCTCCTTCTGTGACTGCACTGCTCAATAGTTGATCCTGTGACTTGCAGTTACAAAAGAGGAAGATGGAAGTGTGCCTCTGGTAGATGGGTTCAGTGAAGCAGAGGCATCGTTGGGCCCTGGGCTCAGGGCAGGGGGGACACTGCAGCCAGAGTCCAAGGAGGGCAAGTTGGATATATTAGATACACATCCACTTCAACATGCTGCTCTGTCAGGACTGGGCTCCAAGGCTGCTTCACTGCTGCTGACCGCTAGGGTGTGTACTCCCACTTCAAAAACATTCTTGGGGATTGAATGGCCTTGGGAGGAGGCACAGGGACCCACACTTTTGGGTCAGCACCCCTTGTCTCTCTGCTCCTTCCTTCCTCTCAGCCACATCAGAGCTTCTGCCTGTCCTTTTTCTCTCTGACTGATCATTCCTGTAGCCCACAGCCCCTTCCTCCATCACATTCTGGCACACCTCTGGCAACACCAGAGGCAATATGCACAGGTGGTTGGAGCAGGAAACTGGGTCCAGGAATTACCAAGGGCCACAGCCTGCTAGTGCACTGAGGTCGAGAACACAGGGAAGCCTGGGCGCTGAGCATGCAGACTCCAAAACATCGAGATTTTCTTATTTCCTTAATTTCACTGTCCTAGAAAGATTCTTCCTCTACAAAGCCCCAGCTCTTCCCACTCTGTACTTACTCAGCCCTGACAGGAAACAAGCCTTACTGAGGATGGAGGGGGTGCCAAGGCCTGACAGACCCTTGGAAGTGGTGTGGGCCAAACCAACTCACAACTGACAGAGAACAGCAAAGGGCTGAGGAAGGTCCTGGGCAGCAGTGCCCCAAAGTGCTTCCAGAACTTTTGGTTTCAAAGACACATCACCTTGCAGAGGGACTCCCAGGCCTTACATCTGGGCATCCCACTGGGAATGGATACCAAGAGGGAGATAGCTAAAACCAATGGCATGGTGAATTACACCTTCCTGATGCCAGAAACAGCTTCTACATTTGGGAGAAAAAGTCCAAACCACAGACTAGCAGCCCGTGCGGGATGGAAGGGACTCACCCTTACCCCAGTCTGAAGAAAGGCCAGCCAGCATCAGGAAGGCCAAGAGGTCACAGGGGGCTCTGAAAAACAGGCTGTGTCTGTACTCATTGCTGCAGCCCACCAGAATGCAGGAGACTCTCCATTGGCGATGCTCCTGGCACGGCAGACAGAGGTACAGCCTTCCTAAAACACTCACCTTCTGTTTCCTGGAGCTGGTGAACATGCAACTTATTGCACATATGTACATATGATCAAGTGGAGGCCCCTTCGAGGGGGAAATTGGCCCGCTTGATCCTCATCGATCCACCAATCACACCTCTGCCAGCCTTGAGAAAAAAGAAATGGGATGAGGAATGGAGGGTTGGAGAGGTGTGAGGTGAGGATGACTCCCACAGCACTTGCTGGGTCTGCAGGTAAAGAAAAGGTGCCAGCAGTCAAGGGATGCAGGCAGCTTCTGGAAGCTGGAAAAGACAGAAGGCTGGTTTCCCATGAGCCTGCAGAAGAAAACCAGCCCTGGTTCCTTCTGGAATTTAGTCCAAAGATGCCTATTTTGCAATTGTGACCTCCAGGGTCCCTAAGAGAATAAATTCCCAGTATTGAGGATGCTGAGTTTATGGCTGTTAGAGCAGCAATAATTGTGTTTCCCAAGCTGCAGTGGAGGCATAATGTAAAGGAAAACAATGATCTGTCAGAAAAAGCCTGGTGTTGCCACTGTGGGTGGCGGGACAACTCGGCATTTCCCTCATGTAAAATACAGAACAGTCTAGATCTCAATTAAAGGCATGTATGTGTGCTAATGACACAGGGAGCGCAACCCTTTTGCAGGACTCTGTGAAGTCAGTCACCATCTATCAGAATGAAGGGAGAGACATGGCTCACCCATGTCCCTAGGAGCTTTACACTGAGGTCACTGCAGTCAGGGATTGCCGAGGGTCCCTGGGACTTACCCCAGAGCCTTTCTTGGCTCTGCATTAAATGGTGACATTGAAAATACCTTCATGAGTGCTGGTGTCTCCAGGCTGAAAGAAAGCACAGAGAGCCAACTCAGGATGCAGGTGGCATCAGCAGGGATGACAGTGGCTCCAGCCCCAGGATACAATATCACAGTCACAGAAGATCAGGGTTTGCATGTATTGTGTAGTGAAGATTTGAGCTCAGAGAAGACGTCCTTGGTGTCACATCGAGGGAGTCCTTCATTAAGCAAAGTTGATGGGCAGAACTTTCAGGACAGAGACAATCAGCAGGCCTTTAAACTCGAGGAGATTCTCGGGAGCACCATCACTTGTCCTACAAATGATAGCTCATTGGGCTATTGACTCTTTACACACGATTCATTTGACTGGGAGGTGTGCACCCAAAGGCTGCCCATGGGACTACACCTTTGTTACCAAGTATGTCCCCACCCACACACCTTTCCTAGGAACCACTAGGGTTAGGACCTCTTGCTGTAGAGCTAGTCCTGGACACTAAGTGTGCTTTGTGACTCACACTGTCCCCACCTCCTCCTCTGACCCTAAGGGATTGAAATAAACAAGTGATGAAGCACGTGTTGTGGCACAGCATGCCTCTTGGGATCACTGGCCAGACATCCCATTTGTGACAGTGGCATTTATACCCTTGAGATACCCAAAGTGGATCCCTGGAACTCCAGGAACCTGGCCCTCTCAGAAGTTCTCTACCCTAGCACAGCCAGAACGGTGCCCTCCCTACTGCACTCTTGCAGAATTCCCAAAACTAAACTGACATGTTCTCTCAACCTGTGCCAATAGATCTTCCTGTGTGAGCTGGTGGCTCAGGTACCTGTGGACCCCGACTACCTACCTCAGACTGAGGTGAAGATTCCTAGGTTGAAAGGGAGGGGGAGCTGCATGGTAGGAGGGTTTCCTGGAGGCTGAGGCCATGACCATTGGATGTTGAGGATGGAGGAGACCCCTGATGAAGGCTGATTGGTGGTGGGAGCATGTTGCCACAGGAGTTTGGCCTGGAAGTGCAAGCATTCCACACTCTGGTGGGGGACGACTGCCCACTGCCTCTCCTGCTTCTGGCCATCCACTGCTGCAGTGTAAGCACTTTGCTGTCCTCTCTGTGATGGCCTGGCTGACCTGCAGGTTCCCCAGGTGATGGGGAGGATGTGGGGTCTCCAGGATTGAAAGAGGCTGCCCCTTTGACTGCAGATCAATGAAACCCAACTCCAGTGCTCCTTTCGTCAAAATCACCCAGCACCTGGAGTGGATCCTGGAGCAGCTACCTGATCCAGCACCCCACACCAGGAGTCCCTTGGTGTTCACTCAGGGTGAATGAGTAGGACCTTGATCCTAAGGGAATCCCATTGTATCTCCTCTTAAGAACTCCAGAGCACAACATGGGGGAAGTGGGCTTTTATTGAGGCAGCACCTCCTCAGCCTCCGGAGCAACTGGACTCAGACTGCAGGTTGGCAGGATGGAGCACACCTCAGAACTCACACTCAATTTTGGTTCCAGTAAGGCAGTGGGGGCTGGTGCTAGGGCCCCAGTGTGCAATACTGGCATGGTATGCAGTTGAACTGGGCTGTGGACTCGTTAACATACATGAATCCAGGCTGGTCATGGTGGTAGTGTCACAAGCCAGTACGTGGGCTCCAGGACAGGCTCTGGGATCCCAGGTGAGCAGGTTGGGACCCAGGCCAGACTGCTCCTCTGCCAGAAGTCATGTATAGGTAACCCATTCTCTCAGATTCACTGATGGGGCTGTGTAGTGATCAGGTAAAGAGGTAAGGGATGTGTGGGAGGACAGACTGCTGAGGAAGTACATTGCAGATTCGGAATAAATTTGTGGTAAGTTCTGCCCAGAAGGCCATTGTACTTGCAGGTAAGCAAGGGGGCTGAGGATGAGTGGTTCGGAGGAGGGGAGCTGGAGCACCTTTCAGGGTCAGACAGATGCACCCTTCCACATGGGAGAACTGAGTTGAGCTTATTAGCATCAACTACCACTGACCACTACCCACTGGCACACACTACTGTAGGGCTGGGGGCCTACCTGTAAAGGTTAGATCACACTACCTCCAGTGACGATTGGAACAGGAGTTGGGCAATGTTAGGCTTGGCCATGGCATTAACCACCATGGGAGAGTATCTAGTCCTTGGGCAGACTCTGTGTGTGACAAATGGGCTCAGACCTGTGGAACTGCAATATCTGCTGGTTTGCTCAAGTGCTGGGCTGTGTGACTGGTTGAGCTAGGCATGACCATGGATGCCCCTGATATTCATGGATACTGGCTTGTGAATAGGACAAGGTGGTCCAGGCTGAAGCACCCATGGTTGCACTCAGGGATAGGGTGTATGGTGGGATATTCTGCAATATCCACTGGCACACAGAGGCCAAGACAAAGGGGACAGAGTGTGCCCAATAACAACTTAGCACCCAGTGTCACACATGAGGTCTGGGTGTGCAAGTGGGCCTGATGCAGGTACTTGGGGAATTCCCCTAGTGGACTATCCCACCTTTTGAGCATGTCAGTCATGGATGTTGGTCTGGCCAGGCAGGATTGCTCCATTACGAGCAAGTAATTGGCTTTCTCTGGGAGTTGGGAGGGAGGCAGGGGGTGAAGTCCTGGAAGTAGACCAGACAGGGCTGAGCAAACTTTGGCACACTGGCATTTTTAGGATCCAGAATGCAGTGCCAGCCATGCTGGACTAGGCTATCACACCTACCATTTTGCAAGAAAGCCAGAGATGAGGGTCAATTGGGGAAAGCTGGACTGAAGCACCCACCAGCAAGATCTGGGGCTGGTGTGGGCTGGAGCAGGCCAGGCTATAGCATCTGATGGCAAAGGGCATTATGGAAGATTGGCTTTGTCAGACAAAATCAGAGCAATCACCACCATGTACATGATCTGTGGATGTGCCTGGTTAGGGAGTTAAGAGGATGTCTCTGCTGTTTTG